GCATCAAAACATTCCATCAGTGGGGGAGCAACCTTTGGAATGTTGTTAATATTTCGCACCTTCCGAACTTTCTTGAATTGAATCTCTAGTCTGTATTCATTTACAAGCATAACGAACCAGAAAAGTGTTAAAAATTTAGTATAATATATATCTAATTATATTTTACAACTGTAGCAGTGAGTTCAAAATGTAAACAAAGCGTTTGTTTACATTACGGACTTTACAACGGCGGAACACGTGTGTAAGCATCAAGTTTTGACTTTTACTCGCCATTTTTACTTTTGACAAACTTTTACTCGCCTTGCCACGATCATGTAATCAAAAGATGACTCAAGCGCTTACCAGAGACAAAAAACTTCCTTTGCCTTATACTAAAATAAGCGACTAAACAGCAATGACTTGAAATTGAAAAATTGACCAAAAAAGCGAGCAATCTTTGCATGGTTGACTTGCTTTGGACCACAAAAGTTTCCCATTTAAAGAGGATATATTACACGCTTCCAATTTTGGCCGACACCTCGTAATGCAAATTAGACGGCCGACCAACAGGTTGGGGGGGGGGGGGTAGTCAGCCCAAACGAGTAGGTGGTGTCTAATTGTCGAATACACTGAACAACTGAGGGTCCGTCGGGTCGGGGGTGTGGTCCCCTGGCCAACACGGTGCCACCCCCACCATGAATGATGACCGCTATTTCTTTGCTACAATCTTGGATATCACTGGTTGCCGTGAAACTATTTTCCCCCTGTAGAAAATGCGCATATTTTTATGACAAACTCCATGTTGAATCATGTTACTTTTCCTTAGCCCGCGCTACCCCCAACTCATTAATGTTGACCTTGTGTCATGGTATATTACCAAAGGTTGTTTCGGCGTTGTTTACAACATTGAACTGGGGAGGGGGGACAAAGTGTGTTTTGTCAATGTTCAATAACTTTGTAATATTAGCTGGAATGGCCGGTCTCGAGGGTTTTGCCCAATATTGCAGCCTAATACGCTATAACAAGTCATTGCCAATTTTAAGCTCTTTTAACTCAAACTAGCTTGAAAAATCAGACTTCTCGCTTAATGATTTGAAATTAATGGGAAAATATGTTAAACAAGTGAGCAGTCCTTCCATTGACTCGGTTTAAGCGACCCAAAATTGAACAAAATGGCTCTTGTGCAACTCAAATTTTTAAAAATTTTTCCGGTCAGATTTGCATATTCATTTTTCCTATTAGAGAGAAAAAAAGTTGCCTTTGCCTAATAAATACCCTCCCCGGGCCAAAAACGTCACAAAATGATACCATTCAGTTGCCACACATGTTCTTTATCACTTCTGTCAGATGAGTTTGATAATTGCTTGTGCATTTTTCTGCAGTCTAAAGTTTCATGTCGTCTGCACATGTCCTTTGGAGACACCATTTGCCTCCTGACAAATCGGAAAATGATCAAGATAGTGACTCTGACTGATCTACAATTGTATTGACACATAACAGTTGACATTGCTTTCTGGTCTTCAATATTTGAGTGAGTCAAGCTTTGGAAATGACAATACATTTTCATTACCCAACCCTTGAGTTGTTTTGTTTTTCTTTTACCCAACCTTTTACTCAACCAAAATCAGTGTTTCGGGCCAACCCTTTTCTCTTTGGTGCCTTCCTCCAGCGCAGGGACGTCGCGAAGCCATGAACATTAGAGGGGTGTGGTCATGTTTTGACCAACTTTTCCTAGGATTTTGACCAAGTCGAAAAATTTTTTCCCGGAAATTTTGTCGATGGGGGAGGTCAAAAAAATTTTCCGGAATAATAGAGTCAAAAAAAATTTCCGGACTATTATAAGCATTTTCCAAATTTTTTGACCAATATAAGCAATGCTTCCGATTTTTTCACCGCAAACATAACTGAAGCTTTAAAATTGTTAAAAGTGCGAACTATTTCATAACTTTTAACAACTTCGACCATCTTACTTCCCAAACTTTCACCAAATTTTCGCGAGTTTTACCGGCAATTTTAAGCAAATATCAGTTCCATTTTGACCAACTTTGATCGACGTTTGAACATCCCCCCCCCCCCCCATAGCGACATCCCTGCTCCAGCGGCTCAGCCATAAATAATGATCCCGACCGTCTTTTAATATTTTCACAGTCGCTCTGTCCAAACCCGATCACCCTTATTGGTAATCCATTGGAGCGTTTTTACACTCCAATACGAACGACGGACATCAAATGGAATTTCGAGAAAATCCTGATCGACCACACAGGGCAGCCTAGAAAGAGGTACACGCCCGCTTTCAAGCCGTTGGACATGAAGGCAGATGTCCAAAATTTGGTCCAGGAATGTTTGAAGGGGTACCAGCGTAAGGTTAAATGGTGGTCATTTGTTTAGATATAGTTTAGATTTATTAAAGATGTGATTCCCATTAAAGTGCATCTATACCTCATTTCTTCTAATATCTCATTGCTAAGAACCTTTGAAATGATATTGTAACTTATTCTGAAGATTTTCGTTTGCACTCTTTGTCTCTGAGTTACTTCAGTTTTATTGATATGCAAATGTACGGAATTTACGTCACATGTGAATAATGACTGATCAAATAATGTAATCTACAGTTGAATATCATGAAATAAAAAGGCGAAATGGTGTTTCAATAGGTATGTAATCTATCCACAACTCCAAACTTTATTTTAATGAAATAAACTCGATAGTGAATACGATATACAAGCTTAATTTACTTTAAATCATTATGCATTTGTGACGTAAATTCCGGATATTTGCATACCAGCCTCACATATCGATTTTATCCATGAGAAACGTCATATGTTCGTTCATATGTTTGAAAACTGATAATTCTGAGTTGTAATGATGGCCTAACTGTAAACTGCTTTGCAGATGGTTTTGCCTGATGTAAAACTTGGACATTGTAAAGTCTTTAATGCATTCAGCTTTGTAATGTGCGAGCTAAATCGCTTGGAATTATATTAAAATACAAAAAAAAAGATTATTTAGTTCTGTGAATGTGTTTACCATTGCCTTCTAAACTTTTAAATGAATTTCCCATCCGAGAACTTTCTTATATTAACAAGCAAAATCGTCTCGCAAAATCTCACATCTTGTAGCAAGTCTGCCAACAAGCCACTGCTTGTCCCAAGTTGTCAACAAGTTTGGAACAAGCTGTTAACAACTTGTAACAAGCTTGATGGCATAATCAGACTTATTAGGCTACAAGGTTGTTCTAACAAGTCTGATACAGTCATGATATAACAAGAATGTTAGAAGGTTGACAACACAAGGTTGTAACAATGTTGTTGTATCATAACTGTATCGGACTTGTTGGAAAAGTCTTGAAACAAGTCTGATAACATCGACAACGTTGTTACAAGTTATTTGTTGTGTTGGTGTAATGTACTCAGGTCAATAAGATGCTAATGTGATTTTACTCTGAGTGCATATCCACACCGGGCAGGCTTGAAAAATATGCCTGGCCACGGTGGGAATCGAACCTACGACCTTTGGAATACTAGCCCAACAAGTTGTTGGGTTAGTATTAAGTATGTTAACAGCTTCGTCTACACACATAAAAATCTCACATCTTGTAGCAAGTCTGCCAACAAGCCGTCAACAAGTTGTGTTCGCACTGCTTGTCCCAAGTTGTCAACAAGTTTGGAACAAGCTGTTAACAACTTGTAACAACCTTGTTGATATTATCAGACTTGTTGCAAGGTTGTTCCAACAAGTCCGATCCAATCATGATATAACAATATTGTTACAACCTTGTGTCGTCAAACTTGTAACATTCTTGTTATATCACGAATGTATCAGACTTGTTAGAACAACCTTGTAACAAGTCTATTAATGCTATCAAGCTTGTTACAAGGCGTTACAACTTAACAGCTTGTTCCAAACTTGTTACAACAACTGGGAACAAGCAATGCGAACACAACTTGTCAACAGCTTGTGAACAGATTTGTAACAACGGACTAATCTGACAGTTTGTCAACAAGATGTGTTCGCACTGCTTGTTCCCAGTTGTTGACAAGTCTGGAACAAGTTGTGATCATGTTGTAACAAGGTTGACGAGGCCAACAGACTCGCAACAAGTTGTTCCAACAAGTCTGATATCGTCTGCACGTAACAAGTTGTTAACACGTTGATGACAACAAGCTCGTGGCAACTTGTTACGAACAACCTGTATTAGTCTTGTTGGAACAACTTGTAGCAAGTCTGTTACCGTCATCAAACTTGTAACAAGATGATAACAACTTGTTTCAGACTTGTCACAACAACTGGGAACAAGCAGTGCGAACACATCCTGATATCGGCTTCACAACAACCTTGCTATAACTTGTTTGCAGATCTCTATAACAACTTGCGCGTTTTTATCTGTGTAAGAACGCACAAGTTGTTACAGGTCTACAAACAGGTTGTTACAAATCTGTTCACAAGCTGTCGACAAGTTGTGTTCGCACTGCTTGTTCCTAGTTGTTGTGACAAGTTTGGAACAAACTGTTAACAACTTGTAACAAGCTTGATGGCATTATCAGACTTGTTACAAGGTTGTTCTAACAAGCTTGATACAGTCATGATATAACGAGAATGTTACAAGGTTCACGACTCAAGGTTGTAACAATATTCAGTGTTATACTGTATTGGACTTGTTGGAACAACCTTGCAACAAGTCTGATGATGCCATCAAGCTTGTTACAAGTTGTTAAGAGCTTGTCCCAAACTTGTCGACAACTTTAAATAGGACAAGCAGTGCGAACACAACTTTGTTGACGGCTTGTTTGCAGACTTGCTACAAGATGTGAGATAATTTTTGCGTGTGTAAAGTTCGAAAGTCGCGCTTATTATGTGCTGTATGGACCCTATATTTAAACAGCAAAACTTGTCTAAAAAAGGAGACTTTAAAAATTCACATTCTTGTTGTAATTTTGCGAAAACATAATTTTGAATCGAATTTTATGCATGCATGTATGCCTCATAGTCTCTGATCAGTTTAACCATTTTTACTCGAACTGAGGGTATTATTATTTTAATAAGGACTCTCCTATTTTAATATATTGCACCCTGTCAATATTTATGCTGAAACCACTATATTAGTAATTCGAGACTTTTTATGCAGTGATACGCTCTTTAATAATTCATTCAATTCATACGATTTATAGAAGCTACTTTCAATTCCCAGGTGTACAAAATCAGAATAAAGTTATTTATCAAGTCTCGTTTTTCAATACACCCTGTATTTTACGCTTTCGTGGATGCTCAGGCATTCAAATTATTACAACGGGAGAATTTGAACAGTCGACAATTCTCAAGCGCACAAGGGCAAAATAACACTTGGCTCAAATTTTTGAATGTACAATCTGCCTGAAGCCGCTTGGTCGTATGTTTACAATGGTCGAATCGGTCGATGCGGGCGTTTTGTGAGCGTCGATATATAAAATATACTATAATCTGGCTGATTTTCCTTGGACTTCGAGGCACAAACTCTATAACTTCTTCATTGTATGAGTACAAGTGATTTGTGGCAGTTTTAAACTTGACATCAGCTTGTGTTTAACGCCTTGGGCAAGTCCAGGTGTTTCTGTATATATGTTGCTATGAGAAAGTGTGGCTATCGAAAGAGGAATATAGTTTACCTGCACGAAACCGTTTCTGGTAAGTTTATTTTGTATATTGTGTTTGAAAAAGTCTAGGCTAGTTACCATCTTGAGTGTGTAGTCGGCAAATTCATGCTTGTCAGTCGTCAAGACATTATATTATCTTTGATTTGTACGTCGTATAGTGTAAACTCACGGAGTCATGTCGAACGGTCCAGGGGTAATTATAACACGAGTTTAACGCGATCTATATTACAATTTTCAATGCCTCTGCATGGGGACAAGTCATGCCTGATATTTCCTGAGATCGGATATCGTCCAATGTTCTATAAATTATTATTATACACGCAAACCGCCCACAATATCCATGTATGTGTGTGTATGCGAATCGCGGTCGTTTCGCCCACAAACCAAAGTCGTTTCGCTCACAAACCAAAGTCGTTTCGCTCACAAACCAAAGTCGTTTCGCCCACAAACCAAAGTCGTTTCGCTCACAAACCAAAGTCGTTTCGCCCACAAACCAAAGTCGTTTCGCCCACAAACTAAAGTCGTTTCGCTCACAAACCAAAGTCGTTTCGCCCACAAACCAAAGTCGTTTCGCCCACAAACCAAAGTCGTTTCGCTCACAAACCAAAGTCGTTTCGCCCACAAACCAAAGTCGTTTCGCTCACAAACCAAAGTCGTTTCGCCCACAAACCAAAGTCGTTTCGCCCACACTTTTATTAAACTTTAATTAATAATATTGATTTTGATAATTTCGGTACATTTTAAAATTTGGAAATAAACAAAACAAAGTAAGAATTCTCACTTGATTCTCTGATCTGCGTGTTAAAACTACGTAAGTTTCAATATTTACAAGTGCTGTATACAAGATTCCGCTTTGTCGTGAATATGGTATAAATCAGAATAGTTTTTACAAGTGGCTTAAGCCCTGGGCAAACTAGGAAACATTGTTGCGGAAACATTGTTTCCTACCAATGTTTCGCCATGTTTCCAGAGTGGGCAAACACTAGGAAACATTAGTGAGAAACATAGGGAAACATCGAATGTTTCTGAATTTGTTAGGAAACAATTTTGCTTCTCTGGAAGCAAATTTTGTTTCCGCAACAATGTTTCCACGGGTGGGCAAACAGGGAAACATTTGAGGAAACATCGAGAATCACAAATGTTTCCGCAACTGAGTGTTTCCTAGTTTGCCCAGGGCTTTAGGTCTGTTGAAGACAAAAGATGTGAAGGCGAAACTAGTCAAAGTTCACGAATAAAACGTGATTTTCCATTAAAAATTAGAACAGTGAAAATGTTCTAAGAAGCGACCAAAAATGTATCTTTCTTTTTCGTTTAATTGCAACAACTAGTTCATGGAAACATTCTTGCAAATCTGTTATGTTTTGTATAGCAGCAACGTCTGGTGCGTATATGGCCGGTACTTATTTAATACTATAGGTTTTCTAAATTTTTTTGCCGTATTTTAAACAATTTTTATTATTTTTAATTTGTGGGCGAAATGACTTTGAGGAGTTATGGGCGAAACGTCTTTGGTTCAGTGTGGGCGAATCGACTTGTGGGCGAAACTTAATTTAATGACGCGCTAGCCACAACAACAGCAATTTCCGAATATGTTAATTCTAAAAGAGTTGGGGGGGGGGTAACCCCCCCCCCCCCAATACCCCCGTCGCTACGGCCCTGACAGAGTAAATTAATTGCGCTTCGATTGACAGCTTCGCGCGGAATTTTATTCCAAAATTTAGCACCACTGTACTTAATTCTTAAAGGCCTGATTCCACG